GGGGGACACGAAGTAACTGCATACACCAGGGAAACTTGAAAATGCAAATCCCTCATTACCACATCCAACATGTTCAGCTTCTCCTGGCACCCTCCACTTCCCAAACCCTCCACCTCATCTCCCTCTCTGTGATATCCCCAGCAGTTTGGAACGGGGTACAGAAGATGCTGCTCTCTTCCCCAGTGCTTGCTGCTGCAGCTTTCCTCCTTCCCTGCCTGGTGCTTCCTGTGCCTCCTTCCCCGCTGAGTGTGACTGGAAGGCAATCTTTTTGACAAATGACTTTGTACAACGGAGAACTCTGAGGCTGCTGTTATTTGGTTACCCTACAGTGACAAGATAGTTTGTCTTTTTGCGGACAATTACAAGAATTAACATGGACAGATTTAGAGCCTGAATCGTGTAGAAATATCTGGCATTTTGAAAAACGCCCGAGAGACCAAGACAAATAGCAAGATCTTTGAGCAGTTAACATTACTATTTCGTTTCCAGAAAACTCTTGAGTACTTTCTCCCACAGCCCTACTCACTTGTATTTTAAACTAGGACCATCCAATCCTATTGATCAAAATGGGAGAGTAAAGCAGAAATAAGTATTTTTAACAATCAAAAGTATTTAAATAGCAGCAGCTATATTCCATGCTACATATTAGCTGAAAACTAAAATCATTAGGGAACGCCTCAGACCACAGAGAAATGATCCTATCTGTTTGGTATTTTACCATAGAACCATAACCAGTTTGAGTTGGAAGGGACCTTAAAGCTCATCCACTTCCAACCCCCTGCTATGGGTAGCGACACCTTCCACTAGACAAGGTTGCTGAAAACCCCATCCAAACTGGCCTTGAACACATCATCTGATAGCTCTGATGGGTTTAAAAACTGGAAGGCATCAAGGGCTCAGAGAACCCAGATTCCTTTCTCCCCTCACCGGAGACTTCTCCCTTTGCTCCAGCCATGTCACGGTGTGCTCCTGCCAGCGAAGAGAAGTACAAATACCTATTTCTCCAGCGACAGAGAAAAGGAAGGAGATGGGGACACAAGACCGCACTTCAGGGGGCCACTGGCTCTCTTTAGATTTCAAGCTTCCTTTCAAAACACTGTTCCACCCTTGTTCCAGCATCCCCCAACGTGAAGCCAGGTCACCTGAATCCCCATGTACCGCTTCCTTTGCATCCTTTTTCAGTCGCTGTCTTTTTTCCAGGGCAAAGCAGTGCAGTTGAAACAATCTGTACCCCATGCATCACACATCTTATTTTGCTTCTGATATTTGCAACCAAATTGCCAGGCAATCTTCAACAGCAGCAGTGACCTTTCATATGCTTTTATGGATGGGCAAATTTAATTTCTAAAAATAGATTCAATTTCTGGAATATATATTTATTTCAACACAAGCTGTATCTTCCCTCATTCTAAGCTGTTTTGTTGAATTATGCCAAGCTTTAGCTGTAAAAATGAAGTGAAACCTTTCTCCCTCACAAGATGCTGCTGCTGCTACGAAATGGCGCAAATAAGATAAGCACTATGATCAGCTGAGGAGGAACATAACGTGCATCACCTACTACCACCAAATGCATAACGCTTCCTTCAATGCTTTCCCCAAACAGATATTCTGTAAATAGTCACCTATCAACTTTGACTCGAAAGGGTGTCATTGACTTAAACAAAATGCACGTAAATATTTTAGCTGCTACAGTGAAAAGGGATTATTTATTGTAACAATGAAATAATAAAAACAACATTTCTGGAGTTATTTTAGTCCGCACATCTGAAAGGAGGCTGTGCCTAGCTGTTTTGCTGATCCTGCTGTAAAACCAGTTCCTCCTGTGACTGCATGGCTGTTTTGCAAGGCATCAGGAGAGAGAGAACATTAAGCTGCCACAAAAATGTTACAGAAGTGAAAAGGACAGGATTTGAGGACACGTGCAGAAAATATATATATTTAAACATGAATTAAGCCCAGTGGGGTCAAAAATGAGTGCAAATCCGATGCCCCAGGGCCAACTCGTGTTCAGCCTAGGTGCAAGCAACAGCAGAGCTCACGACTGTTTGAGCAAGGAGATGGACACAGCTAGCAGGGCCAAGGTGACCTTGGGAAACAGAAGTAATTTGCCCTGTAAAATGGCTTTCACAGATTATTCATTTCAACTTTCTATAAAAAATACCTTGAAAACAAAAGGTAGGCAGAGAAACACTACCTGCAGGGCTGCAGCTACCCAGCGTATGCGGGCAGAGGCCAAGGTTCAGCCTATCCATCAACAGGACATCACTGATTCATTCTAGGGCATAAAACCCAACCACACTCGGGAAGAAAACAGAGTAAAGCAATGCTCAGTACTTTTCCAGCCCTATGTTATCTAGTATTCAATACTTTTCAGCCTACAGAACTATATGCCACCAAATCCCTTTCTATATGTTCTTTTGAGACAGGCTTTTTTCATGCACCAGAAGTGCATTTTTAATAACTGTAAAGGGCATCTAGCTAAAGTAATCTGCTCCGGTAATTACATATAGTAACTCCATGAATTAAAATACTTTAACCTTATAATGAATCAGAGAGAGATGCTGGAAAAGGGTGTGTGGGGGCCAACAGGCAAGCTAAGAGACTTCTTAGTGCAGAGCATGATTTGTCCTTGCTTTGGAACCTTTTGGAAACCATGGTATCTCCAGCGACATGGGAGCAGCAAACCACGATTCACAACTCAGGATGAACATGGGGAAACCTCCATCCCCATCACACAGTACCAGACCTAATTTATGAAGATTTCTACGAGCAAAATATAATTAAAAACACAAAAAAAAACCCAAACCCAAAAGGCTATGGGGAGATTATCACATGCAATTCTGCAATTAAAAATTGGGTTGGAAACTGCTACTTAGATGTCCATGTGTCCAGAGCTTTGCTATTTGAATAGAAGGCACCCTTGGGCTGGTTTTAGGCAGGTGCATAAACACTTACCTGAAAACAATCTTGTTTTAAGGAAACCCTACACACATCTTCCCAATCACTGAAGAAATTACGCTGCTCCTCTGCATGTCAGTCAGGTCAATCTCTTTTTGCTTGTTATTAAATTTTATCAGCTTCCAAGAGCCCAACAGAACGTCATCTATTCCATGAAAGTCCACTGGCTAATAAGAAGCATGAAAACCCCAAACCTAATAAAGCACTTGTATTTGTAAAATAGATACCGAATTAAAAAATATTAAAGGAAATACTTTCTGCAAAGACATTTCAGCATGGGAAGTTCCTGGGTAACAAAAATCTTACTACACATGATGAAAGGATGGCATAATGGTTTAATTTTACATGTTGGGAGAAATGCAAGAGAGTAAACGGGGTGGGTTTTGGAGGCCTTTTTGTGGGTTATGTGTTTCCTGTAACCTTGGAATCCTATGCATACAATAGCATTTCTCTGGCTCACAAGGAAAACATAGAGGCAACACAGCTACTTAAGACAAAAAATGTAGCGCCTTCGCTAACAATAATGGAGCAAGTATGAAAGCGCTGCATTAAAACCTATTTTTTTTCAAGTTCTTCTCAGTTTTTAATAAACTGGAAGACAGATTAGCACCTTCAAAATACTATGTTTTTTCCTGATAATGTGCCTTTAAAAGCAATTTGGAAAGCAACTTACTGCTCAACTTTGCACTGTAAGTGGGAACTGCTGAGTCCAAGCATGTATTGCCACCTGCAGCAGTAGATAAGACGGTAGATTTTGCTGCTCTGCCTTACATATTCCTGTAAGGTTTTCTCTTTAACTCTACAAAACCACACTGTGAGCATTTTTATATATGGCCCACACACATATCTACAGGATGTAACCTGGTTTGTCTAAGGGAGGTCTGGAAAAAGCCTTCTCTATACAATCCATGCAGCTACTCCACCACTTGCATAAGCCTCAAACTTATGACTTTTGCTCTCCACTGATCATACACATCAAGGGAAAACTTGCTTGAAACAATCTTTAGAGATGCACAGGATCTTTTTGCTTTAGGGAATGCCATTTCATCCAAACGAAAACCTTGAGTGAGAAAGGGTAAGTACAACCGAAGTACTGACCACACAGTATCCTTTTTTTGCAAGATAAAAAAATCACTGACATTATTTGTGCCATTTTTTCAGAAGTAAAAATTCTATTTTTATATTCTTTGACATTTTTGGCTTTGAAATATAGCTTAAATACAGAATAAAAATTAAGAAAACAGAACAAATCGAAAGAAGCATTCAAATATGATCAAAGCAGTTCCAGATAATTTGAATCAGATCTGCTGTGTGTTCCTCTTCAGTATTTTGATTCATATTCCTTAAGCTGTATTAGTTGTCAGAATTCGGGATGTGGAAATCTTCCATAAGCTGTTTCAAAAAGGCTTTATCAGCCATGCAGCACAAAACGTGACAGTGCAGAAACTTGCTGTTCTTGTGAGACCACTAAAGAAGGTCATTGAATAACTAATGGTCTATTACAACGAGATGAGAGATTTCAGTGGGATCTCCAAAGCCTCCAGCTTTTAAAAGAATAGATCAAACTAAGGATGTGGAAACTGAGAATTTGTTGTGTTTTTGTTTGGTTTTCTTTTGAGAATGACATAGTCTAACTTGAGAGACACAAACTTCCAACACCTAAGTGATATGGGTGTCACTAAGAGAGCTCCATGTTAGGGTGTTTCCTATTAAAACATAAGAAAATGTGTAACTTATGAATATACTGTCACCTACTTCACCTCTGTTTATGGATAACAGTACCACTACAACTATTTCATTCCACATTTAAGCCTGACTGCAATGATTTAAGGAGCTTCCCATTACTTTTCCCCCTTGAACAATAGCAGCAATTTAAGAGAAGAGAGATTTCATCTTCCGCATGTCCTCCCATAGTTCCAGGGAGGAGCCCGTTATTTCCCCTTGCACTGGAGATTAAAGTAGTGATGAAATTGGCAGAAATTTCATTTCAACTACCTTCTCCACTTCCTAAACTGAGCAAAAGATGTTTTATGTTATCTTACCTTTATGGTTTTGGTCTGGAGTCTGAGTCCATTTAAAGTGTTAATGGCTTTCTCTGCATCCTTTGGATCAATATAGTTAACGAATCCATATCCTAAACTCTGCCCTGTTGAAACACAAGAGAAAAGGAAAGAACAACTCAGTACTTTTAAGCGCAGGAACCGCTTCCAAGAGTGGGAACACAGTGTTCTTACAGTGTCCGTTTCATCCTTGATTTCCCCTATGGTTTCTATGCCATTCTTTACCATTTCATTAGCTTCTTAATACAGTAGAATCCAATATAAGAATTTTAAACTGCTGCTCTGAAGATCCTACATTAAAAACAAGAAGGAACAAGCTCCCATCCTGACTTTCCCTGGATTTTACTTAGAAGTGTGGACGAGGCTTAACAGCAGCAGAATTGTGGAACAGCTTTGTGTAATAGCTCCTAATAAAAGTAACCAGCTGCCCTGCCAGAGCAGTAATGAGGCCACCTCTTAAAAATGATAATACACACGATTCTGCTCCTGTTCATAAATAAGTTTGTCCTTAAAATGCAAACATCAGGAAACAGCACTTTAACCTTGAAGCAGCTGACTGAGAAAGACAACCACCTTTACATCTTCTTTTATTGCTCAGTGAGCACCCAGTAAATAGGAAGAGAAAGGATAGATCAAATTGCAGTAGGATAAGAGACCGCATTAAAGCTTTCCTCCATGTATTAGGGATGACAGCGAAACCAAAACAGTACAACTGCTGCTGCACACGGGATGGCAGGAGCCCACTGTAGCAGCCAAAATCATTTCAACAGCTTCTGTTTGACTAGTGAGATCTGTTTGTGTTTGCAGCAGAAAAGAGAAGACCTGGTTAATAGCTGGGATAAGTAACAGGGAGCTGGAGAGGCCATGCTGTTAGCACAACAGACACTCATGCTCCCAAGCCCAAGGACTGAGCTGTGGGTCTGCAATGGGCTGTGAAAACCTGCATCAGAGAGGTACCTCTCCCTGATTCTCAAGTAGCATCAATTCTGTTAATGCAATGTGACAGACAGCCGCTTCCATATCCCTTCTTGAGCCTCCTACTGAAGTTATTTTGCACATTTGGAAAACACAGCGATTCTTATGGTTTCTTTTAAAGGCACATAAACTTATACACATGCACAAAATAATCAGATTTCAAGAACAAGCAAGCCCAGGCAGGCAAGCAAACAGTCCTGTATTTCAACCATCCTTCTTCTCATCGCTCCCAAGGAGAAAGACAGCACTTGTGGAAGATTTCTATCTGCAGGAGCAGCAAAAGGCGACCCAGCTCCTGCTCACCAGGAGAAAGTGGAGGTTGGGAAAGCAGCTGCACACCAAGTGCCTTGATGTACCCTGGAGGCACGCATCCTGCCTCCTGAGCACAAAGCTTTGTTTCTTTGTCTCCTGGACTACAAAAAAGCATCTGTGTGTTTCTCAAAGTCAGACACCACCAGAAATACAGCATTTGCTGCAACACAAATACAGGGAGCACTTCTGTCGTACGAAATCAGATCAAAGTGCTAAAAGCTGCTAACTATGCAATGGAAGACCTTAAAATTCCATGGAAACACTGCAATTCATGCCTAAAATGCCCACATGCAGGCGTTAAGGATAAGAAATGGCAGTTTTAACCTACAATATATCGAGGGACCAATTCTATCCAATCAATTTAACTTCAGAAGTAAGTATTAAAACATATCTAGTCTTCCTGGAGAGCTGAATTAATCTCTGCAAAAACATTCTCACCCCAGTTACATGACATTAACCAAGAAGGAGCTGAAGTCTGACTGAGCATGAAGCCTGAAGCAGAAATACTGTAAAGATACTTTCGATGCCATGCCTTCCTCTTCTTGTCTACCCAGATATTTTATACAGCCCCAATCCCTGTGCCTCTGAACACATCAAATCCTTAGTATGTTGAATCCTAAACAGGCCTAGACAGAAGAAAGCCATTCTCCAGGAATCTGACCTTTTTTTTTATGGAGGAAGGAATATGCAAGGATCAGGGGTCGGATAACCTGAGTTCATGCCCCTACTTTTCCCCATAACCATCTATTAACCTTCAGAGGTACCTAGGTAAAGGGTGCAGCTGACACAGCCCTGGGGTTTATGTCAGTCTGTCTGAACACAGGCTTCCATGCCCAGCCACTTCCATGCCCAGTCAAGGCACATGGACTGACCAATCTCTACAGTATATACTATGATTATTAATCACCTCTTTAAGGAACATTCTCGCTTCTGTAAATACTTCTGTATGGATGAGACCATGGAGAACAAACCCACCCACGAAACAAGCTGTAGGGAAGAAAACTAATGGCAAGTCAAGAAAAGAATGGTATAAAAATTCCATAGACCGTGCTTTTCTCCCCTTGGAGTTCTCCTACAAGATTATTCAAGTTATTAGATACCACCATCTCCGATTCTCACTGCCAAATGGAACCAAACAACTATTTTCTCCAAGGTGAAGGTCAAAGAATACCAACATGAACAAAGTTGTGTGTAAGTATGCCTCCAGAACCTGGCTAAAACAAAACAATTACATTGTCAGACAATTTTGGTTAGAATAACAGGTACACAGAAACACGTTTTTTTGTTAGTATATACTCCTGAACATCATGAAATACATAAAACCTGTAATTGAATTTAAGGCCTATTACTAATAAGCTATTGGTCATGATTTCATATCAAATACATTAATTGCTATGCTGGCTGTATTAGAGTCTCACAAAAAGGGGTGGGTCTACTCAGCATCCTGAGCACTGGATTTCTATACATTCAAGAAAAAACCCTTTTGTCTTAAAAAAGATTCCCTACACCCTTTGCAACCAACCAAAATCTTAGTGCAGCTGATTCAAGCAGCAAATTCCTGTTGCTGTTTTCTGCCATATACCGTACTATGTACCACTGAAGGTACATAGTAAGGTATATGGCAGAAGAAAATCTTTCAAGCTCTCGCCACCCCAGGGGTACATTCTGTTTTATGTTGTATTTTCAAGCATCTCCCCTCAACACCATCATTTAATGGAGACAGAGAACATCCCCCCATCGACTGACAAAAAATGAAAAGAAAATAAACCCAGAAAACCAGTAATTTGTGAAAAGCATTATGACTGCTGGCAGACATTGTAAAGTCTTAGCGTGCTAAACATTTACAGCTAAAGAACCACGGAAGTATATATCCAGCTAAAAGTACGATTTCCAAATTATTCTCAAGAGCAATACACCTTATGTCAGACAAAACAGGCTCTAGATAGAAAAGAAATAAAAATTGGTAGAGAAAAAAAGACCAGAATATGGTGAAGCAGTAGGAACTTTTGGGGCTTTTTTTCCATCATGTACTCTTATTGCATGTATTCAAAAAGGGTAACATTTCTTTGGACGCAATCTGGCAGCATGAAGCAAGCAGCTGGACCTCTCAGTGGGATCCCACACAGACACTGAAGTTCATTCCCATGCTACACTTCCCAGGAACAGCACCGTAAATAGTAAATATTTTCTGTGATTTGGAATCCAGCAAGTTCATCGCATGCTGCGATTCAGTAGGGCAGGCAAGAGACATTTCTAGATGATCCTAAAACAACACCTTGTTATATCACTACCACCATTGCTCTTTCTGAATGTTTTATCTGGCATGCAGAAACGCAGAGCGGACCTCTCATGATCTGGTAAAGAACAGGTCTAAAAGTGAGCAATAGCAGGGCTAAAAATTATCACGGACTTGACAAGTCTTAAACCCCTATGAAGCCAAGCTAGTAATGCACGTATTTTGTGTTTCAGCAGGCTCCATTTCAGGGCTGAAAATCACCAAGATTAAAATAAATCACGAGAAAGGATATGGAAACATAAGTATACCCGATATATGAAATTTATACCTACACTGAAAACCCTGCAGCTATGGAAAAGGGGGTGCCATTTGAAGACCTGTACCTTCCTGTGTAAGCCAATTCCTTATTAATTAAGAAATAAAGTGAAAACAGACAGAACTAAGGTAAGTTAGGACAGAAAAATAGGTGGAAACAGAGAAAAGAAAAATTATAAACAAAAAGCCCCCCCCCAAATCTCTGGCTTGTGAAGGTCAGAATTACAAAAGCTCATTTCATTTTTTGGATTACGGAAAAAAGATCCCTTAACACTCAGGCTGACTCAGTAGCAGATAGTAACATTGCAAAGAAAACAGATGTGTTATGTACACCTGAAAAAGCTATATGAAGTACTAACTAGCAACACAGGTGGATGTTAAAACAGGACCTCCTGAGATTCTACATGTTTAAATGAGATGCTCTCGATTACTTGCAGAGAACAGACTCCAAAAAAGGGCACAAATGGCTCTCTTGCCATTTTCAGTAATTCTTACAGCGCTGAACAAATTCCAGGAGCTTGGAGGAAAGACGATTTTGCACTGAAATTCAAAAAGGGAGAACTGGATGGCCCAAGAAATTTGAGGTCCATCAGCCTAATGCTGAGCAAGGCAAAACTACAGAATATTCAATACTGGACTCTAATAATAAAGAATTAGAGAGAGGTAATAAAATCAATGTCAATCAAATTATGTCTATGGAAAATAGATTCTGTCAAACTAAACTGACATCCTTCCTGATGAGATTACAAGTTTGACTTATAAATTTGAAGAATGTCGATTTAATAGCATTGATATACTCGGGTCTTCCATAAAGCACTTGATTTGTTACTGCTTATTAACTGACTAAACCAAAATTAACATGGCACACATTAAATGCATGAAAAAAATAATGAGCCAACATCTCTAACTGGAAATTGTGAATAGGAAATCACTTGAAAGTGTTTTTCTACAGGTCTGTCTCAGGAAACAGATCTCTGCCCGGAACTCTATTTCCATCGACAAGTGGAAAAAACCAAACTCCTTCCCTCCTGAAGATCATCGACTGGAGAAAAACAGAAGGAGAGGATAAGAACAAAGAGGACAGAGAGAAGGTGCAAAGCAAGTTAAGCTCTTCAGTAAACTACATATAAATACATTTAGGTAGCACAAACCCAAGACCAGGCCCCAGCAAATCAAGTTAGCTATGGCATACTTTCCAAACAGGAAATGGAAGGACTCATACTGACGCATAATCAGCCACCTCTCAAG